TGTCCTGGCTGGAACCAGAACAACTGGGGAAGTAACCTGAGTTCCACATCTCACCTTGAGCATCACTGCTGTGTGATTATTTTTCTCTTGTCTGTGTATCTTTACATAAGCCTGGAAGTCACCTCCACACCTATCATCCCCTTGTGAAATTATCCTTGGTATAATCCTCAAAATGAACATTTTTTCACTTTAGCCCCAAAATACCCAGCACAGAATCACAGAATCACAGAATCACTTGGGCTGGAAAAGATCTCTGATACCACTGAGTCCAACCTTTGACTATGTTGTCCCCTAGACCATGGTACTGAGTGCCATGTCCAGGTGTTTCCTGAACACTTCCAGGGATGGTGACTCCGGGAATGGCACGCTTTATGGCAAAGCCAGGAACTGAACACAAACTCCTCCAACCCAAGCCTTAGCCACCAGCTATAAACTCTTGAGATGCTTGAGAGGAAACTTTTCTGTTGCTATGGCAGCATGAGGTCTCAATTCACATTTCCTCATACAAAGCCCATGAGGAAAACCATACTATGGGTAAAAGCTATGTATCATGGCCCTTAATTTAATCAGGAGCTGTCAGCAATTACCTTTACTTTCAGAAGTCTGAGCTCAACCTCTTGGAGAATCTGTTCTCACGTAATCTTTCCTTCGTTTTCTGGTTAATTTGGACATGATGCAGTCATTTCCTAACTGGAATTATGCATAGCCTTCATGAACTGGCCCTCTGGAGCAGCAAAAGAGATTGTCTCACAGAACAAGAGGAAAAGGGAAAGACACAGAGGTGAACCAAATAGGCAGTTAAAAAAGTCAAGGGCAGGAGTGGATTCCATTTGTCCTTACTTTATATAAACTCTTCTAAGACATAATCTCCTTACTCCATTTCCCTACTTTTCTTCCTCCTGTTTCTACATGCCCAGAGAGGTCACTAGGAAAGCCATCAGGAGGAGGCAGCCTCGCTTGGTCACTGTTAAGCCATTTGATAAGGAACTCTGGGCTCTATCCCAGCACAGCCATGAGCCTGATGCAAGACTTGGGCACCTCCTTTCAGTTCTCTGTCTCTTAATTTCCCTCCCCTTTCCCCACACAGGCACATCTGGTTCCTTCATTTTGCTTGAAAACTCATCTAGACATAGTCTGCTCTTAATGAGGTTGGGCACAGGACAGGGCAGTACAAGTGCAGGCTTGTACTTGCTTGCTGGATGAGGGGTTTAGGTATGCTTGTAATATAAATGGAAATTATCTAAAACCCATCTGGGCAAAGGTAATCTTTTGAAGGAAGGGGTTTCACTCCACAAGTGTAGGACTGGGGACCAATAGGTGAGGAATGTAGGAGGTCCTGCCAGTCTTGGAAAAATGAGGAAAGCTGAAGCAATGACTGCTGCACAAATGGGGCATGAAAAACAATTCTCTCTTACACTTGGAGACAGCATCCTTCCATTTCCTTCTTCCTTTTACCTTTTGCTTTATAAATAACAATTATGTGGTTTTTTTGGGTTTTTTTTTAATTACCTCCTCTGGCCTCCTCCCTTCTCTCTGTCTCTAGGTCATACTCATCTTGCCTTATGCTTATACTTTTCCTAACATTTACCTTTCTGTTTTTGAGATCTGCTTTCTCTGAGCTCTCTATTCAACCCTCTCCAACCCCATCATCTCCTCACATTGCGAGTTTGCATTAATTGGAGAGAACGCAATAATAAGAGCCCACCCAGTACAGTTCTTTCCACAATGCCCAGAAGGATCGGTGCTTGAGGCATGTTTTGAAAATCATTGTAAATCAGGAAACAGCAAGGTGGAGTGAAAGGAAACTGGAAAGAGCTCTCAGCTTACAAATGTATAAAGCAAGAACACAGGCCCTCACTCCAGTAAAGTGGAGCCAACAGTTACTAGACCAAGTTCCTTGAGCAAAAAGTCGTTATTATGACTAACCCATTCTGTATTTATAGAGAAGTAATGTTAGAAGACAAACAGTTCAAACAGTGCACTTGCACTAGATGTTCTTTGCTTTTTCTGTATGTAGCCTTTTATTCCAAAATTAATTGTGGTTATAATTCATTCCCAACCTGCTTTGGAATGATTTACAAAAACTCTGTACTGTTGAAAACACAGACGACTTACACATACAAAATATAAAGCACTCAGCAACTCCAGGGATAAAAAATACCATGTATTAGGAATCAAACCCACAGAAGACTTAAGAAGTAATTATCATTAAAACATTTCTCTCTCTGCTACCACAAATGGCTACAGGTACTACTGCAGGACACAGAGGAGTCTGGAGTGGGCAAAGCCATCACTATCAGGTGTCTTTGAGAGGCACTTCAGCCAGGAAAAGTTTTGTTTTCACCAAGGACAAGATCTGGAGATGAAAGGATCTTGGCAAGACTGAGTGGACACTCAGCCACTGAGTGTCCACTGAGCAACCTGACCATCCTGGTCAGAAAGGACGAGGACAAAAAGCTTGACAGGGAGAAGAACGGATTGTATTTCTTTTTTTTTTCTTTTTTTTTTTTTCTGCATTGGAACCTATCAGCCCCAAGAAGGGGAATGTTATGTGCACCAGGGGTGCACATTCCCTTGAGAGCCAAGGAATGTGGGGCCTTGGCAGGCAGGCCAGGTGCCAGGCTGGGACAGAGAAGCCTTCTTGCAGCCTCCCTACATTTTGTGGAGCAGGAGGAAAAAAAAAAGAAAGAACTTGTTAAGACTCACACAACTTTCAGATCAAATTTTTTGTCCTGTTTCACTTTGGAAATCTATTGAACAACCTCAGTGCTTCAAAGCTGAGGCTACAAATTTCCCAATCTCCTAGAAAATGCTCCTGTATTTAATAAGCTGTTTTGACTGAAATTCAAAGTGAAAGCAAAGATTTCTGTTGTCTTAGCAATAGAAAACGTGATCCTGATCTGTAACCCCATATCTGACCAGACAGAAATGTGTACTCTGTTAAAATCTGCAGGAAGCTCAGACACACTGGCATGAGAATAGCTCTGGTTCCCTTGCAGTCAATAGCAGAAAATCTCATTATCTCTAATGGAAATACCTGTAGCAAATTTTTTTTGGAAAGAAGGTGCTAGAGGGTGGTGTCTGAACACCAACTTCACAAACCTGTGAGCTACATAGTGCTTCAGCTACTGGGCAAAATTCTAGTTCACTGTTTTCAACCATTCCACCGAAAATTAGCCCTTGAAGTGCTTTGTATCTAAAGGACCTGCTGAATATGGACAAGGAAGTAAGCACAGAGCAGCTGAAATACCAATAACATGAGTTATGCTTATAATTGGCTTATGGGTGCCATGATTCCTGTGGGTCAGACTTTCTTAAACGACCTGGGTAAAATTCTGGTTGCTCCTAAGGACCCTGTTAAGGTTCCCTGGTGTTTTGCCTCCAAGAACTTCAAGCATGGCACTGCACATAACCCTGTTAATTGCTCCAGGAATCCTGGAAATGGGATCAGGCCTTTCTGCCATCACCACAGTGAGACTGGACTGAATCACCCCCTTTGGTGACAACACTTTCCATCCTAGGGCACACAGATTCAGCAATAAATACTGCATCAACACAGTGAATGTCTCCAGAGAATTTCACTAAATAAAAAATAACCCAGCACAGACCCCTGACAGGTCTTATTTTCTTTTAGTTTTGTTTTTCTTCCTTTAGCACATCATCTACCCAAATTTAAATCTGATGTAGACTTACAAGAACTGCTCCCAGCTTGCTGTGCTACTCAAATGGCAGCCTGTCCTTTCCCATGCATTCTCATTAATGTCTCTCATCACCAAACTTTCTTTACAATTAAATCCCAAATACTTGAAAGTTAAAATGACAGAAGTGAACAGCCCTGACTGAAAAAAATACTAGTCCTCCCATTTCTGCCAGTATGGATAGGAACATATGTACCCTTTGGAGTCTGGAAAGTTCACTGTAGAAGTTTCCTAAATCTACCTGTTTTGATTATTCTGGTTTGTGTGGAGCAGACCAGACAATTCAGAGGTTTAATTTCCACTTTCATTTCAGCACTTCTTTTCTTCTAACTACCCCAATTCCTGAATCATCTACAGCAAAGCGAGCAAAATGATAACACTCTTGGAAATCTACAAATCAGTAGATAAAATAATAGGTTAATCAGTTTGCTAAGATGAAAAGAACTAGAGGAAATTTTCAAAGGATCAGATAATAAAAATGCTAATTTTACAGCAAATTTTTCAGTTATCCCAGGATTAAAAAAAACTTCTAAAAAAACCCCCAGGTTTTGTGATTTTTTTATTTATTTTTTTTTTAAATTTTCCAGTCAGTGTTACTGTGAGTGTTGGTTAGAAAATATGTCTTCCCACCTCAGAAAGGACAATGATTCAAATACAGCAAATGTGTCCCAAGGCAGCTGAATTTAACTCCAGACTGTCAAAGCTCCTGTGAAGCTCTTGTGGTCTCCTCAGTAGGGAAACAAAGAAAGTCCATCATCTGCAACCAAGTCCCACCAGGAATTTCAGACAATAGAGCAGAATAAGCCCAAAAAACAAGTAAGTTTTAGCTCTTGTGGTTTTCTGCAGCAGTTTTGAAGTAAATGTTGTTCCTTCTGCTTTCTGCTTCTCTGGTTTCAAAGACCAGTTCTCATACAGCCAAGAGATGAACAAAGTTTCCCCAGGCCTCACCTAACACTTCAAATGAAGGGCCACCTTCTCTCTCATGTACAGAATCATAGGCATAAAAGGCATACTTTTGATGCACTGAGATCACCAGCCATCAGATGGTTAACTCATTAAAACATTACTTCTTTCATGAAAGTGGCTCTTCTGCTTAAATAATAGTATTTAATAATATCTTAGTTTACATTGAATAAGGATAATATGAAACATATAGCTCATATCCTTAAAAAAAATTTGACTTCAAAATACTGGGCTTGACTGCTGCAATAATTGAAGGACAACTGCAGGACAATTGTTTCTGCAATGTCAGACAAGCTTCAATATGAATGAAGATACAGAAGAAAGGTTTCTACTACTTACCAGCACACTGATTGTTTTCATCCAGCTGGAAACCGAATCGGCAAATCAGAGGTCTTGTAACAGTAGGGTAGTTAGGAACAGGGCCTGGTGCTGGGGGCGGTGGATAAACATTGGAATAAGGACTCAGATACGGTGACCGATACACCGGGTTTGTTCGGGGGACACATAAATAGCCACCGTTCTGGTTGACACACACCATGTCTCCTCTGCAGGCCTCAGGAATAGTCCGACATTCATCAATATCTGGAATGAAATCACAGAAGTTTAAAGAGTGATTACTCCTTAATGGGACCTATCAAAAAAATAGTTAAAGTGTTTTTTACAAATCATTGCAGAAAAATTTATATTCTCCATCAAAAAGGCTAATCCATTCTTGTGGAGCCTCACTTTGAAGTTAGATTGTACTAAAATAGGAAACATCCGTTATATTCAACTTATCCTGTGATCTACTCATTTTACTTCACTATCAGAGAACAGAGCGAGAGGACAAGGCCTGCTTTACTATTCCATAGAAGTCTGGTTTGAGCACTGATTTACACATGGCTGCAGCATGCTGCTGCCTGTTCCTGCTAGAGGGTCTGTCCAAACCACAACATGCAGATCAGGATTTCAGAAACTGATGGTTTGGTCTGCCCAGCTGTGAAATTTGGATCCTGCTTTGGAAGTCTCGAGTTCCCTCCCACAGAAAATGTTAGGGTTGCTTAGATCTGGGGACAGAATTCAGGCCTCTTTCTTGCTTTGATTGAGATTGTTGCTGAATTAAATTTAGCAAGATACAACTGGTTTAGTCAAACAGAGCATTCCCCTGGTTCTTGGGCCACAGAAGCAGTAGGTGATGACAGGGAAAACAATCTGCTACAGGTTTTTCCCTTTCTGTTTGAGTGACTTTATTGCATATAGAAGATGCTGCCCTGGAGACTGAATGCCATTGACAAAAAGATGCTCCTGGGAAAAGTGCAGATTTCCTTACACTACCTCAATTTAGTTTACTTAGAGTTTCAGTGCTAAGAATGGAAGACTTTATCTGAGCCTGCAGGTGGAGACAGGCAACAAAGACAATAAATCCTGAGTTTGAAGGAGAAAGAGAAGGAGGGTGAACAGCCCTTGTCCTTTGGCAGCTAAACAGAGCTCCTATCAAAATGCATCATTGTTGTTTGAGTAGCCCTGACAGCCTGTTAGTATCTCAAAAATGTCAAAGATTAGTGCTATGTAAAGACACATACACACACATATTTTTATATACACATATTTTTTATATATACATGTATACAAATGCACATATTTGTCACACAGTAAGAACTTTTCAACTAAAACATGGTAAGAGCAGCACAATGTTAACTCAATAAATTCAGGATTTCTGAACCCAAATTTAAATGTATTGATTTAATTAAAGTCCTACCTAAGCATTGCCCAGAGGCACGGTCCAGGTCAAACCCATTAGTGCATTGCTGCTAAAATGAGAGAAAAAAGGACACTCAGTGACTGTGAAATGAGAGGTTTGCAGAGTCAAATGCTCATCTGGATTATTATGATTAGTACAATTGTTCAGCACGATACAGTACATCAAAATAAAGTCCCTTTCCTAGAGGACAGTCAGCAAGGCATGAACCTGAGGCCCCAGCATGTGTTTGGGAGTGGCAACCTCAGGTGGTGGCAGTGTCAGGTTGTTCCTCTGCCCAGGGGTCACCAGTGTGCAATGTGTTACGAGTTGTTAGCACAGAATCACAGTTTTCTAGCTTGGAGTCTTGTTTTTGCCAGAACAGGGGGGTTCATGTGGAAGGTACTTGCTGCATTTCTCACAGGCTCTAAAGCTCCCCAGACTGCCCATTCAGCACACAATGCACTAGACATTGACTGATACAGAGCTCCATTTGAAACACAAGCTTAATAAAAATAAGGCTCTTCCTTTCCACCAAACCTTGTAATTTTTAGAGGATAAATCTTTAGACAACATGTTACAGGCATTCAAGGTTACTGGAAGCCTTCCTTCCTATTCTGTGGTGCTGGTTATTATCAAGGCTGCAGGCTTGAGTCTCCAACACCTCAGTGACCTCAGCATTTCTAAATAGGTGAAAGTCCTGGTGATGATGGTTTCAAAGCCTGTTAAAATGATTCCTCCTCTTCCTAGTTTTTGACTAGGCCTCTAGCTATTTAGCAAAGGGCCAAGCAATTGACACAAGCACAGAATCTTCCAGAAAATAGGTTGTACTAAGGAATGTCAGTGAGAGATATCCAGGAAACAGAAACCACTGAAGCAGCCGGAGGGCAGAGGGATGGAGTGTATTCAAGATTCTTCCTTTTTTGTTGTTTCTTAATGATAAGGACACTTATTTTTTGACTTCATAGAAGAAATGAGTGGAAGAGTAGAGTATGTAATTGATGTTTGGAAAAGTAGCAAGTTGTAGATGGCAGACAAAAGGTTAGAGGGGTGAGTCAGTGGAAGTGGGTCATTGCAGGAGCTAGGGACAGGACAAGAAATGAAACACATGGCACTGTTTGGACTGCACCTGCCACTTGCAGATATGAATACACAAAACCTCTGCTGGAACTGTCAGACAAGTATGGAGGAATGTTGCCTTCATTTATTTTGGCATTCTAAGATGTTTTGGTATCATGTTGTGGAAAGCCAAGATATTCCAATAGGAAAAGGTATAATTGCCCTTATGTTTTAAAAATGTATGTACTCTACCTTTTGTTCTCCTTTTTCTGTACACACACTACACCTAGGTTAGCTGGAAAAGTTGAAATAGTTTTAAACAAAATTATTTTGTTTTGGTCAACAAATTATAATTCAGAAACACTGAAATTACTGTAGGACTGGTTTCAACAACTTTCTAGAACTTTATTGTGGAAAAATTTCAATATTGTCAAAATTACCAGTTTCAGTATCTTCAGAAAGAACCCATTGCTGTTGTTTCAGCTTCAAGTTTCTTTCTCAAAGCAACTTCAAAAATCAATTTATGTTACAAGATGTTTTTATAAAAATTATAACATAAACAATATTTTTTAAATTATAAAAACAAAGCATTAAAGACATCTCAAAAAATTCTGCAGGGGCATGAAAACCATTTCCCATACAGATCCAATATTCATGAAAGTATCAGTAAGCATGCCCTGTGCAGGAAATTTTCAATGTAATAGAAGAAAAAAAAACAAACTACATTTCAGAGACTTTTGGCAAAAGTATTCAGAAATACAGCTCTGGACACTGAATATATCTGGACTATCAACTAGAAATCCAAACAACATGCCTTTAGGAATAGTTTTTCCTGATTTAAAGTTACTTGGAGCCCAAGCACACAAAGAACTAATGATTCTGCTATTTCAAGAACTGGACTGCTTTAGCTCTATCCACCCTCTTGAACAGAAATGGGTTTGGGCATAAATGAGAATGAAAACTGGGATACAGTCATTCAGGATCACAGTCCAAAATTAAAAAATCTTAAGACATGATCCTGCTTATACACAGAAAATGTGTATTTATATGAATGAATTTTCCAAATACAGATGTTTCTTACAATAGAACTGAGCGGTCTCTGGTCTCATGGGATAGGTTTTCTTATTTCCTGTTCCAGAAGTGTTCAATTTAGAGGCAGAATCACATTTTCAGTGAGGTCCAGGTTTTTACAGGGATATTTTGCTGAGCTGGCAAGGATGAGTCAATAAGCTCAATCCATGTTCAACTCCAGAATCCTGCTGGCTGCAAGTTCTCCCCTCTAAACCCTTAGACCATTCAACTTCCTTTTCATGTAAACCCCAGACCACAGAGCTTCCTATCCACTTGCTAGCCAGTTAAGTTTCATGCCATATAGTGCTTCAGAATAAACCAGTATATACATCTCTGCATGCACCTCTCACCTGTGCTTTTCCAGGGCTTGAAAGGCAGACAGCCAGTGTGAAAGCAGTCAGTATCCTGTAATGTGCATAGAAAATAGGCTGAAAACCTTCTGATATCCAGATTTTTTACATAGAATTAAATACACATGGACAAATCAATTTCTAGTGACACTTCAGTGTATTCCACAGTTTTGTTAACATGAATTTGGCCTCTGGAGAAGGAATAATATAAATGTGGGCCAGATTCAGGTCTCAGAGCCAGTGACTCTGATGGTATGATAGTTTTATGCAACTGGGATTGAAACCAGACTGTACATGTCTATGGTCTAATCTAATTTTTATGACACCCCATGCAGCAGCTGTAAAATGAACGAGTGTGCAATATTCAATAAAGTGTTTTTTCCCCTCTCAGACACCTTTCTTTTGCAAGAATGAAAGCTTTTCTTGCACACTGCAGGTTTTACAGATGGGTAAACCAGAGCAAGGCCCTGCCTAAGTTCACAATGCAAAGCACTGGCAGGGTTGCAGACATGTCATGCAGGAGGTCCTGAATCCAAGCCAGTTGCTCCAACCACTAAACCGCATTTCATCCCCAGGAGGCTCTATCTGACATCAGTCCATTTTCTTGGGGCCAGATTCTGTCCCTTTACTCAGTCTTGAAGGAGACACACTGTGCCAGGTCACCAGCTACTAGAGGCTGCTATCTTCAGTAGAGCCTTCCCCAGGTATATCACCTTCACATCTTGTGGTCCCTACTCACTCTCCACTGCAACTGAAAGAAGAGGATCCCTCCCTAAAAGAGCCCTACGCCTAGTTTTGGAGCTCCTTACCCAGAGCATAGAAACTATGTAACCTCCCACCTCCAAATATTTACTAACAGATAGAAAAGCATGAAAAAGCTCAGTCAGAAACTACTTTTTTCCTAGGTCCTGTGGATTTCAGTGTTTTACTGATTTATAGAAAACTTCCCAGTACCATTAAACCCACACCTTGCTTATCTTGGATTGTAGTTCTAAATGGCAATTGGATACAATACATTCCCACAAAACCAGTAGAGGAAGCAGGGGATATTTTAGGTAGCCTTAGTTCTGCTACCCATGTGAGCTGCCAACTTTCTCTCTTAGAGCTGTCCCTGATTTCCAGAGTGCAGACTGAGCTGCTGAGCAAGATCTACCAATGGATCAGACAAAACCACACAAAATGATCAACACATTACGAAAAAATTGTTTTAAATGAGGAGACAGGGACAAGCTCTGAAAAGTAAACATACACCCAAAAATGGTTGCTCATAGTGCTGTGGAGACAACTAGTTGGCAACTTTCGAGTGACAAGGAAATGCAAATTCTGCACAGAGCTTTTTTTAATAGTCCAATGTAAAGCAGTCACACCACAATATTATCCATTTAGATTTGCACATAATTTATTGATTCCCCAAATATTTTTGAAGATATTTTAATGTGTGCTCTTCTATAAAGACTGTATACTCATTTTGCATATAGCAAAAACAGCGCTGGGAAGGAATACAACAGGTTATAGCAGAAGACTGACAGATGCAGCAACTGGGCTATGCTGCACATTGCTGCAGGACAGTGCACGATAACAAACTCCCCCATAAAACAGTCAGACAAAACTCAAACATTTTTAGACAGCCTTTAGTTTCCTTTGCCATGAAATGATATATTCTTTCCTTTTGGTGGTGGTGGTGGTGTGGGTGAACTTACTGCCCCATACGTGCTCTGTCTGCACCCATGATCTCAATTTGCTCGTTACTTTAGATCTAAAATCCCCTCAAGAATTATTAACAAACAAGCAGCACAACCTATCAACACTGTATGCAGCTGGTCACAGTAGCTTGCCCAGCAGGCAGAATACTTTAAACTAGTGATTAACTTCTGCAATAGTAACTAATTACTTCAATCAATCACTGTAGCCAGTGGGATCGTTGCTGCTGCAGTTCAGCACTCCCGCAGATGCGCAGAGTATAAGCACAGATCAAGAAGGAACTCGTCAGAGACAGCACAGCTTTAATAACAGCCAGATCGTCTTTCCCCACCTCTGACCATTGAGATCCCGTCTCTTTGCAAATGGCTTTTGCAAGTGGATTGGCATAACATATCCCTGCCACAGCTATTTTCCACAAGTAGGTTTCCCGTCAGTAAGTAAAGAAGTTTCATGCATACCACTTACCTTCTTAATCCTTGCATGTCCAAAACCGTTGGGGAAAGGTGGAAAAAAACCAGAGTCTGTGCTGATGAATAACTAGAAAGTTTTCCAAGCATTACCCTCTGCTAGCACTTCAGTTCCTCTGTCATTTATAGTCCAAAGAATGAAATGGCAAGTAATGGAGAAGATCGGGAGCCGTCTGTACCTCCTCAGACACTGGAGAGAATACAGAGAAAGCACCTGGTTTTGCTTAGTTCTCTTCTGTAATTCAGCATTAAACCAATTGGAGGAGGAATGTTAAAAATGAACACTTCATTTTCTAAGTATGTTAAACAATGCAAATGGGGGCCTCAGCCTGGGACAGCTGGTTTAGATTACAAAGCTCACCAACTGGCTAGACTCCTCACAACAACCTCGAGGAGCCTGCCAGGATAAAACACTAACAGCTTGAAGGAAAGCCTCTCCCGCTGCAAACTTCACAGTTAAATGTGCCTCAGAGCAGAGAGCACCGTTATTGGACAGAAACCCTTATCAAGGGACTGGAGAAGGGAAGGGATTGTTTTCCTTGTTCTGAGAACAAAAAAAAGTCAGTCTTTTTTGGAGGCCCTCTAGCTGGTGTCCTGGACAATGAATATGCAACACTTGCTGCTCTGTGCCAATGGCATACTGATGAAAGGTCTGACCCTCTGGGAGGTGAATAACTCAAATTCATGACGATCACAGCTACAGGAACTATATTGCTTGGGGATTATTTGAAAACAGGAATAAACAAATTAAACATTCAAAGTAAAACAAATGGCTTGTCTGCAAACACTGGCCCTTTTTTAAACTGACCTCCATGCTTAAGAGAACAGTTTATGATATGAAATATTTCTCCAGGACAAGCATAACTTGCAGATCTCCAGTTACGACTGAAGTGGAAGGAAATAAAGTACTTTTTCAGGTGTTTTGCAAATTTGCCATGGGCAGAGCCTTAGTAGGTCAAGCAGAACATTTATGGGATGTGAAAGGTAAGCAATCAGATGCGGCAGAGATTAGAGTAGATCCAAAGATGAACACTGAATTTAAACACAAGCACAGACATTAAACAACTACTTTGAATTTCTCTTGAGTGTCCCCATATAAGAAAACCCTTTATTTCTAAGGAACCTGAAATTATTATCATACATCTCTGTGTAACAGACTGAGAAACAAGAAGTACAGTTGATATAATAGATAATAATAAAATCAGCCTCTAAGCATCAACATCCAGCTTGAGATACCAAGGCTGAGATGCTTTAGGGGTGCTGAGCCCCCACAAGTTGCATTGGAGCCAATGGGAAGCTTAAGAGCTCTCTACCTTGTTAACTGGCTGCAATTGTCCAAATTTCCTTTCAAAAATAACAGCACCAGAGGCTTCTGGCCATTTCTGACTGTTTGTCTCTCAGTGACATGCTTGTATCCCTTGCATTGCATGGAAAATTAAACACTCACCTGGAATCATTCAAACAGTGCTTATATATTTGAAAATAATAAACAAGAACCAATTTACTTACTTTGAATGAAGTTTCCAAAAGCCTAACAAAAAGTTGCATGAGGGACTTCTGAAGAAGCTGCTGGGCATGTTGTGAATGAGTTTTGTCATGGGTCAGAAAACAGGCAGGAGAGGATAGAAAGCGAAGACCAGGAAAATTTTTATTGTGGCAAATGTTTAAGAGTGAATATTCTCACTGCTCCATACCACCAGAGTTTCTCAATACACTCAATAAGTTGGAGGGCTAACAGATCTAAGAGTAGCAGTGCTTACTGGATGTTAGAAGTGTGAAAAACTATCGAAAGAATGAGAAACACCTTTATAGGAAAGCAAATGCTCTGTGCATCCAGCTGTGTGGAAGACAAACTTGCTTCATCTGATCATACTTCACTTGCTAATCCACTGAATTTTTCTACAATCACATGGTAAAATCATTGCATGCATGCCAGAATCACTGTATGAGTGCAGCACCAGTCTGCTCCCAAGTAATTGCCTCAGAGTTCTGATCCATCAGCCAACTGGCAGAGATGCTCCAGCCCTGGAGACAGGAGGTGAATCCAGATCTCAACCACCTAAGGGGCTCCCTTAAGAAGAAGTACTGTACAAATGTTTTGATTTTTCCTGTCTCCATCTGACAGCTGGAGTGGATAAAAACCAGAGTGCAAAAAGTGTACCAAACCACAACCTGGGCTAGTTTACAGCATGGTGACTGTTTTTTTTCCAAAATAAAAGGACTTGATGTAAGTGGAATTGCTGCAGTACCTTTCTGTAACTACCATCAGTCATAAAACAATGAGATGTGGCCACAGCCTTTTCACAACTCTGTTTGGTATGAAGGGTTGCATAAAGGAAGGATTTTGTGGTGCATAAACCCCCTTCTGTTCACCCTATAAAAATGGACAATTCAATGCATCTTTCAACATCCTGTGCTGACACCTCCAGCATTTATGCTTAAGATGGTGGCTAAACTTCATGTGTAGCGGTGCTTTCACTTCAATGGTCTCAAATATCCATCTGTTTTATAAAATCCATTACTTTATTTAGATTAGACATTGCCTTTGTCTTCATGAGGGGGTGCAGAACTGTCCCCAGTATAAAATGGGGCTCTGATAAATAACTATGTTCTCAAAGTTTGCTTTGTTCATAGCCAGGGTTGAAACTGTGTCTCAAATTAAGACCTGGATTGTGAAAATTGTGTATAAGGGTATAAATATAAAAAGGGGGACATAAACTGTGTTGTATAATTTTACTCTCTTTGGATGAGATAGCTGCACATACGAATTGAGCCATGCTCCTGCAGATAAAGCTCAGCATTGGATGAACAGGAGCCCTCAGCAGAGGAGAACATAATCTGACTAATTCTAAATGCCAAGACAAAAGCTATAAATAGGTCACGGAACTTAAGAGTAGTTAATTACACTCAGCACCCCTGAACAGAAAATCTTCCTCGCGGAAACAAGTCCTCACCCTCTAAGTTTCACAATATTTAATCTCCTTTTTTAACTCTGATTTTGTTCTTACATTTCTCCAGAACCACATCTGTCAAACGCCCTTCTTAGATTTCTTGTCATTTTTAAAAATTCCCCCACTCTGAACATTTTCAAGAAAATTTTCAAGCTGTGAGAGGAGTCAAACCATACAAGTCTGTGTGGTGGTAGGTCTGTGAGCCCAAAGTCCTTCTACATGCCAAGTCATAGACATCTTTTAGCCAGCCACACAGACCTAAATTCATTAAATGAATTTTCTTATAACCAACACTTTAGGACCTACATGTCCAAGCTTTAGATGCTAAAAACATTCATTTTGCTCCTACCAAATCTTATGGAACCAAATGTTTTTACCAGCTGGGCACTTGCAGAAACAACTGTGTTTTGATAGCATCTAAACTCCATGAGATACAAAAATTGAGCTTTTGCCTGACTGTGGAGATTGATCTAAGTGTTCTTGGAGACTGACAAGTAAGCAAGCTTTTGATACTGTTGTTGATGCTTTACGACAGGCAGTGACTTGACATACACACATCTCACCCTACTGCCACATGAACAGCAGCAAGCACACAGGACACATGGTCTCAAACCCTAATTCCACCTGGGAAAGAGTAGAACTCATTTCTTCCACCTCCCAGGAAAGAATCTCAGTTGCAAACTCCTGGTGTTTGGGAAGGGCTCCCTATAATTTTTCAAAGACTACCTTATATTATCAGCTGAGGTCTGTTTTGTTCACTGTCTGAATTATAATTGCCATCTCATAACATGAATGATGCAATAACTGGTTCCAGATGGCTCAGGCCAGAAGCTCAAAAGTACAGCCTTACATATATTTTCCTTTCGTAGCCAAATATAACACAAGCTAGAATTAACAGTGAAAATTAACATAGTATGTAATTGTAAAGACATCAGTAGTGCTAATTAAAATGTGCTGGGAAAGTAAGGTCCCTGAGATGTTGTGGTGTGTTGATCTGCAGCTCACAGTACAATTTTTAGGAGGGAGAGGATCTAACAGTTCCTGTTGTGCTGCCATTTCTTGGGGCTCAGCTGCCTCAGTGTGGTACAGTTCCCACCTGCATGAGATATCCATGCAAAACAGAGCCAATAGAGCACCCCTTCCTTTCTCCTGCACAGGGATGTCAGCTGTCTGTCTGAGGCACGGGTTCCTTTGGCTGGAGCATACTGCTGATATCATTGCTTCCAAAGAGCAGTGTGCTGAGGCCCACTGCTGTGTTGTACCAGGTGGTCTCACAGTGCCCAAGCACATGGAATAAACACTTCAAGTCCTTGGTTTACTCTAGTTCTACGTCTTTGTCCTGGTTTCATCTGGGGTTAAACCACACCACTCCATAGCTGTACTCTCTTTACAAGTCTGTGAACATTCTGATACCAGTTTCTAACAGCCAGCTTCTTTTAGGATGGAAATTATCAGTGAAAAGCCCAGGCATCATTGGATCCATTCTGAAACACAGCAACTCTAAACATGGACTGACTCTAAACTCTAGACATCTGACTCCACTTTATTGCTTTGAACACCTGTTCCTTTAGATAAGGAGCATTAGGATCTAGCAGGTACATACCAAAACCCAAACAGTTTGAAAGAGCCCAGTGAACTGCATCTACTGTAAGACAGAACCATTTCAGGAATATTCCCTTTAGTGAGGTGAGGTTTGATGTCTGATGATCACCTGTAATACTTTCTAGGACAGTCTAAGAAGATGCCTGAGGCAAAAAAGAGTAATATTCTTGGAAGAATTCCTCAGCATTGTTCAGGGTTTTTTTAACCCAGTAAAAGTAAGGTAAACAAACTAAATTTTTACTGTAACTTTCTCAGGAAAAAATCAGAGCCTTTCACAGCATTTTTCATGAATGTGACAACTCTCAGCAGAAAGTAATAATTATTATTAGTGGTCGTTTGTAACATTCTTCTTGAGTTTTCAATCCTTAGATAGACATTGGTACTTTTAAAATACTTCCCTGTAAAAAGTGCATGGAACATCATCATGTACCTAAAGACAGAAGATACACTTGAGAACTCCCATCTCCCCCTTGGTTGCTCTAAGTATCCAAGAACAAGGTGCCCCAGCCCACTGTTCATACTTTACTTCTTTTTCTGTTGAATCTCAGCATAGTTCTCATAACTGCAGTTCACATTTTGCCTGAAACTAGACAGATACTTTCATTTGTTTTTGTTTATTTTTTAAGATTGACAAGTACATAAACTGGGCTGTAGCCTTCACTGCATTTTTGTCAAATGGTCTAGACAATGTGGTTGAAAACAATGCTCTTTAATCTTGTGACAAAATGTTTACCAGCCCCTTTTAATAGCAAGCATAAATTCTTTATGGCCCATTTCAGCTAATGACCTTCCATAAATAAAGACCTTAAACTCTTAATACTTTTGGACCAAGACTAAAGTCTGTTTCACTGTTGGAACAAGCCAACATTCAGTCTTCACGAGTGCCTGGGATACATAAACCATTGGGCTCCAATTACGACCAGACAGTTAGAAATATGTACTAAAACCTTCCTTAGAAATATT